TGAATGCTGAACGTCACCAGAAGCAGTTTTACATCCAAGCCACAGAGGCTGGAGGCATCGATTTTCTCCTTAGCCTGGTGATTCGGGGCATTTAATGAATGGAAATCCCAAACCTATTTCTAAATAAATTATTTTCCCAGAATTGATTGTTGTTGCTATTTCTTGTGCAATTGGAAAATTGCTTTTCGACTTTGTTGTTTTTAAATTGCAGATAAGCTTGAGACTGGGAATCAACTAGACCCTTTACGATGCCCAGGCCAAGACCAGGCACAGTTCTATTTATTCAAGAGCCACAAGCACTCAGGACACTGAAGAGTGGAGGTTTATCCCTGCTGCTCTGGCATTGGGACCACGGCATCCAGGCATTCTGAAACTCATATATCCAGGAAAATCACTCCCAAATAGTCCCAATCAAATGATTCAATTAATTGAGACATACCATGTGATTAAAAGAAATCCTTAATTTTTCTTAAAGTAGAATTCTAGCTTCAGGGTTCCTCTAAAATTTCAGCAACAATTACTTTGTGTGTAAACTTTTGTGGCAGTGAGGGAGTAAACTTTTTAACAAATTTCAAAGGGGTCTGTGATTAAATAAGAGGCTAAGGACTACTCATTTTTTAAATTACTATGTGAAAATACACTCTAACTGTATCTGTTTTTTAAAATGTGCAATAATAGCTAAACAAGTTTCATATCTTTTCCCCTCAACTTTCTAAATAGTTCTTAAGGTTTTTCTTTTTATTAAATACTCATTTACAATATTTGATGAATGTTCTCAAAACTATGACATGCAATTCAATTAAAATGCAAGCATTATGATAATCATTACTTCAGCTTGGGGTATGTTTGACTACTTCTGCTAAATAGTCTAAAAGTTTACAGTTTTGGATTCTAAGTCTTTTGTCAACAACTGAGAACAAATTAAATAAAAAACTTGGGGTTTAAGGGTGTGTGCGTAAGTCCAGACTCATCAACTTATATACATAAGTATGTTCAGTATTTTGTATATCAATTATGCCTCAATAAAGCTGTTAAAAACCCAAATAAAGGAAACAAAAATTATGACTGAGAATAAAGCAGATAACTAAAACTTGTTTCCCCCATAATCTGAAAGTAGAAGATTCCTATTTGTTATTACTTGATAGGTTATTTTTAGGGCCTGGGAACATAATTGCTATTAATTTATATGGAAAAATTTTGAATGTTACCAGACCCCAAAGAATAACATATGAAAGCATACCAAATAGGAATGCTCTACTTTTGGAAAGCAGGGGAAACCTGTGTACAGCCAGAACCGTGGCTCTGAAAACCAAGAACATGGTATTAATATAGCATAGAAAGCATTTCAAAAGTAAAATATTAAAACAAAATCCTTTCCTTCAATGATTGATGCAAATATTTGCTTAATGAAAATCTCAATCACATTATTTGTGCTTATAGAAACAGTAAATCTGAACTTCTCAATTGGTTCTCAAATAGTTAGCTGTCCAGAATCTGTCTAGAAAGCAGAGCATCTTGACATGACTGGTTTTAAATGTTCAAAGTTTGAGTGAACTCAGCTTTTCTTCCTGGACCTGGAGAGAGGGAGCAGAGGATATTTCGTTTTCAAACTTGGTTCCACGTTTATTAGAGCACAGTTATTAAAAATGAAAAGGGGCTAGGGCCTCCCTGGTGGCCTAGGAGTTAAAGTCTCAGGGCTATCACTGCTACCGCCTGAGGTCCAATCCCTGGCCAGGGAGCAGACCCAAATGGCGCAGTAGACCTCTCCTACCTTGCCTGCTGCTCCCCTCAGCAGTATATTTCAATAGATCTGCCTTTTCTGCTCCCCACTCTGCCACTCCCCAGCACCTGTGGCCTACCCCACCCCCAGTTCTTCTATGCCAAAAAAAAAAAAATCATAAAAAAATTTTAAAGGGGTTAAATGTAATTAAATCCTGGGACAGATAAAGAAATTTATGGGAAAACTGGTAAAATTTGAATAATGACTATGATTTAGTTAATGGTACAGCACAACGTAAATTTCTTAGTTTGGGTAAGTGCAAAATGGTTTGTCAGATTATTAACATTTAGGGAAACTGGGTGAAGGACATGGGAACTCTCTATACTATTTTTGCAACTCTTTCATAAGTCCAATTATTTCCAAATAAAAAGTTAAAAAAATCAAATTAAAAAAAGAGGTGGAGCTACTTACAATGCTGCAAAATTGCTGAATAAATCCCAATGCATACCATTGGATATAGTCTTGCATCAAGAATTTAGACACTTTATTAAAGAATACAACTTAGGAAGGAGCTGAGTGAACTTCCAATTTTCCCTCCTAAATTCTGCTTTATGTGTCTTTTCTCCAGGCTCATCCAGAGCCTATAACAGCATTTACAATTGAGAGACTCATTGGTGACCTATGGCCGAAGAGACATACATTCTTCTGTTGGAAGTAATGCTGTCAGTAATATCTATCTTATGCTTGAACAACATTTTATAGTTCATGGCACTTTCTAAGTGTTGGTCTTGTATGATTTGCATCAGGAAATAGGCAAATACATGTGCAGCCGCACGGACTATAATAAAGGATGAAACTTGTGCATTTTATGATAAAATGTAGCACCTGTATCAATCTCCCCCGCCCTCTCTCACGCACACACCACACATCATGATACACATACACAATCTGAAACCAAGGTTATGCAAAAGCTTGTGTTAGTGTCCAGCGGTGCAGAGATAGAGAGCTAGGGGGACATATGGTCACCAGCCTATTTTGAATCTCAGCCCTGTATTTTGGGTGCCAGCATTCATTCTTCCCTTTCTACCAGGAAAAGGAGAAGCATTCAGATTACCATAAAGGCCACCAGTGAACACCTGTTGAGGCAGGTGTTGCCAGGCCATGGCTGACTATGCCTTGAATCATAGCTGACTCGTCTCCTCTGTCTGTACTGGTCCTTGGGAGGTCCTGGTTCCTGATTTCCTCTGGACCCCTGACTCCTCATTTCCCCCATGAGTCAGGCCCACCTGCCAGTTAGTTCTTTTTCAGGAACCTTCTGCAGCTGTGTCTCTTTTCCAGGCTTTGTAACTGGCTGCCCGCCACTCAGCCACCCTGACTCTGGACGACACCAGCAATGGCTCATATCCCCTTTATTCACAGCCACAGAGCCCCTCATGCTGCCAATTTCACCACTGAAGGAGGTATGAATGCCTTCAACCTGGACATGCACTCACTCCTGGCTGGCCCTGGAACAGGCAAGCCAAGACTGGAGTTGCAGGGATCTATGGATGGCCTAGTGACATGCAGTGTGCCCTCCCACTCACTTTCAGTGACGTGGTTTCCCTGTGCTCATCTCTCCAGGGAGAAGAGAGACTACCTTTCAATTGAGTCCTCTGGCCAGTGCACTTGGGGTAGTGATTTGAAACAATCAGCAGGCATATTTCTTCCTCTTTGGCGCAGGACAACATACTCATTTGTTGATTCGTGTTTATTCAAAAGGGAAGTCTAATTGGGACTCACCGAGGGTTCACAGGCTCTTGTAGAAGAGTAAACGTACTTGGGAAATGTGAACAATGGGGATATGATTAATTGAAACTTCTAGTTTCCTTCTAATTAGTGGAAAATGTCTGGGCAGCAAATTTAGGGGGTGTGCAATGATTCTCAGGAGAAAGGGCAGAAAACATCTGCATTTGTAAAAGTAGTTGTTCACGATGTTTATGTGTTTTAAAGCATTTCTTACTACTATGCTGGCTCCTTTCTGCCACACCCTGCAGGCAACAGTCCAGCATCCTGGGCTCCACCTGCAGGCTCAGGACCCTTGTGTGTGGGGAAGGAAGGGATAGGAGGGGGCACCCACTCCTCCTTCCTTCTGGCTCAGACCCTGCAGGCTCCAAGGCCACTGGCCCACCCTGTTCCTCCTGCTTTTATCAGGAAAATGTGACTTCTCCCACTGCCAGCAACCTCATCACACAGCCACCTGGAATGTCACTACCTTAACTATGGAACTATGTTCCAGTTTGCCTAAGACAGTTGCAATTTATCCCTCCTTTTACTCACACTGGCCTGATTGGCATGACAAAACCCTGTCACCCAGCCCACCTGAACTTCCCTGAGGCTAAGAGAATTCACATGGGGATGCATCTGATCACCTCTCCCGCTCACAATGTGGGCGCCTCCTGTCCTTGTTCTGAGCTTGCTGCCAGCACATCAGTGGGGCATGGCCTCCCCTGTACTTTTCTGTCCAGCCACTAGTTGATATACGAGTATTGTAGGAATCACCTACGGTTCCAAGGATTTAGAGGGGAGAGAGAGACTGTGTGCATGCACGAGCATTCAGTGTATGTGTACACAGAGATCAGGAAATTGTGAAATATTTGTTTAGAATAGCTATTTTGTATCTAGGAATCTGGCACATTTTCACTCTACTCTTTTGGGAACAACATATTAAGGAGATTGAAATTCTAGTAAAGATATTCTGACTTGTATTGCAAACATCACTCTGTAGACACGCAGGAAGATCATGCCAGCAAGTGCACTTTTCCTCAGATGAGTGACCTGAATTTTCTGTTTCTGTATTCTATTTCAGCTTAGGCAGAAAAAGTGCATGAATTATTTTCATTTTGAATTCATCATCAAATTCACTTCCTGTTATTGTTATTCTAACACCGGAGAGAAAAGTTTGATTTCCAGAAGTTTTCATTTAACTCTAAGAAAAAACAAACCCATACAAATCTATCTAAAAAAAATTATTTTTTCATTCTCAACACGAACCTGCTTGATTACAGGAACTAGTTTAGCTAATAATTTCATAATATTAGCATCACCCTAATTATATGCTTTGGTTGTTCCAGGTCCAGGCCTGATCACAAGGCCTTTGAAATCCGAAGATGAACTTGGACTGACCCCACAGCACAGGACCCACGTGGCCTGCGGCTGGTTTTCCTGTTGACAGGTTGGAACAGTGCAAGTTCAGGTTCTGCACTTTCCCTGCAGGTTCTGAGGGCTCAGGGACAGCACTTACGTCTCATCTGTGAAGGCTATTCCAAAGTATTCCTTTTCCTTCAGATTGAAGTGAGAGGCCACGAGATCAAGAAGCTCTTTAGCCAAAAGCTTGGGCTGGAGGGAAAATAAAATGGAAAGAGGGTAAGTGCTTTTGTAAAACACGTAATCACACAATTTTTAAAATGCAGTACATCAAGACTCAGGTGTATCAATGCAAACGAGTTTTATAAAACCTAAAGGAGTAGACAAGGAGGACACCAATGAGCAAACAGCCGAGCACAGGCCACCAGCAGCTCATGATGCTGTGCCGGGCTTCCTGGAGCTTGCTCTGTTCATACTCCATCTCTGGCAAGGCTGTCAAGCCTTGTGGCTCTCCTTCTTCACAAGGATGAACATTTTATGCTGAATTGACAGGAGGAGGCTGTATTTAATATATGTAAATATATTTTAATGTACACTTACATAGTATTTGCTGTGTGCCAGGCCCTGTTGTAAACACTCTACAAACCCCTACATCTTTCATCTTCACCACCTCCCTGTGATGTGGTCCCATTATTAATGCCACTGACTTGAGGAACTGGGCACTTGGACTAAGCAAGTGTTGTGGCTGGGATCTGAATCCTGTCTTTAGAGATTCTACAGGCTCCCATAATGTAAAATCCAGAAACTAAAGGCATCCTCCTGCAAGAAATGTTTAAACTAAGGTCAAAAATGCTTAGCAATAAAATTTAAGAGTAAATGGAAAACTCACCCTTCATTTGTCTTTCTAAAGGAGAAGAACAGTCTTTATCTAAGAATGTTTTTATCATAATTATTTCTTAAATATCTCTGCCAATCTAATGGATTAGCCCAGGGCTTTGGGCATGAAATCATTGCATTTGTCTATACTGGTGACTCTTTTTTTTTTTTAAATAAATTTTATTTTTATATTCCCCATACAATTGCAACCCCCTTATTTTGACCCCAATCCCTCCCCTCCCCACACCCCACCCCCCATAGAGTATCTCTGCTTCATAGTTTTTTGTTGATTTTGATTTTCACTTTCTTATAGTTATTCATTTTCCTGGTCCCTTATTTAAGTTTTCTAGATTCCTGCTATGAGTGAGACCATCCGGTATTTTTCTTTTTCTTTCTGGCTTATTTTGCTGAGCATGATCCCTTCCAGCGCCATCCATGTTGCTGCAAATTGCATGTGCTTATCTTTTTTGAATGCTGAGTAATATTCCATGGTGTATATGTACCACATCTTCTTGATCCAGTCATCTATTTTTGGGCCTTTGGGTGGTTTCCAAAGCTTAGCTATTGTAAACAGTGCTGCTATAAACATAGGGGTGCAGGTGTTCTTTGGAATTGATGTTTCTGTGTCCTTTGGGTAAATACCTAGGAGTGGAATTGCTGGATCATATGGAAGCTCTATGTTTAGTAGGTCAAGAAATCTCCACACAGCTCTCCATAGTGGTTGGACCAGTTTGCACTCCCACCAACAGTGCAGGAGAGTTCCTTTTTCTCCACATCCTCACCAACATTTGTTGTTGCTAGTTTTTTAAATATGTGCCATTCTCACTGGTGTAAGATGGTATCTCATGTATACTGGTGACTCTTAATTCACCTGGGCCTATATTGAAAACAACACAGATGGCCAGGCTCTGAGGTGGGGGAGGAAGGAAAGCTACCTGATGGAGATATGGAGCTAAAAGAGAAGAGTCATGTCTATATTGGCTCCTGGTAATGCACACACAAACACACTGCCTTTAGGACACACGTGATGGACTTCTCCAAGTGCAGAGCAAAAACAAAGATTCCAGAAAAGAAAATGTGTGTCTATGTATATATGTGTGTTGCATTTATGCACATTAATATATATCTCCTGGTATACTTCCTACTCTGGTGGTTATCTCTGTTGAATTTCTCTGTTAGAGAGCTGATAAGACATGTAAAGCAAGAATTATAAGACAGTTTGGTTTCTTATTTTACTTTCTGGGTGCTGCCATGGACAGTATTGCATCCTCCCCCTCCCAAATTCATATGCTTAAGACCTGACTCCCCAATACAATGGTATTTGGGGCTGGGGCCTTTGGGAGATAATTAAGATTAGTGAGGTCATAAGGGTAGGTTCTCATGATGGGATTTGTGTCCTTACAAGAAGAGGCAGCAAAGAGAATGTGCGCTCACTTGCTCACTTGCTCTCTCTCTCTCTCTCTCTCTCTCTCTCTCTCTCTCTCTCTGAGAAAGCAAATTTCTGTGGTTTAAGTCATCCACTCTGTGGTATTTTTTTGATGGCAGCCCAAACAGACTAAGACAAGCCCACTTCCTTTAATTCAACAAATGTTTACTGAGTAACTAATAATAGGCCACTGGCCTCTCTGCAGGAGATACAAAAATGACCACCATAGGCACCTGTCAATAGGATGTTAGAGTTTTATCAGGGGCACAGAGCAGGAGCTAGTGTTTGTTTAGAAAGCCAAAGCCAAAAAAGTCAAAGCAGATGGTTTCCCTCTGCTGTCTCACTCCTGGGCTCACAGAGTGGCAGCTTTGGGACCTGAGTAACTATCAATTTACCACGAAAACAGCTGGAAATGACAGGAGTAGGTGTGAAGCTAGGGCAGAACTTTCTCCCTTTGGAAGATAAAAGTCAACAGGAGAATCCATCTTGACAAATGAACACCATCTAATATTTTATACTTCTTTCACAGTAAAATTTGTAAAAATGAAGCAATCTTTGTAACCAACAGGGAACTCAAGATTTTGTATAAGAATTTCCTTCATAAATAGTAGATATCTACCACTGGGGAATGCCATGGAGTAAATGTGGCACATCTCAGGATGTCACGACAGATTGCAAAGTAGAATCCATGATGAGATGGAGCTTCAAACTGTGTTTGCTATGGGTTGCTGCAGGCTCTGTTGCCAGCACTACCTCTATTCCTAAAAGGTACCTGATTGCCCAGGTACAAAGCTTTTAATGTAGAGGTTGTGACTGAATACAGGTAGTATGGCTGAATTTTAAATTACAATATGCCATAATTTATCTGTCCAAATGATTGCTATCTCTTTTAAAGTATTTATAGCATTTCTATGATGCCTGCCAGTTCTTAAAACATGTTTGATAATCTTTTGGGTTTGCTTTTGAAGCCTGTGTCACACTTGTAAAAGCTTCCTCACTCATGATAAATTTTCTTGTACTCAGAATGCAGTTGATTTTTTTCAAGTGGCAACAGTGACTTGAAATCAAGTCTAATGAGTGGGGACAGTGGGTGAATAGGAGGGGAGGGAGCAACCTGGGTCAAGCTGGTTTTGTAAAAGGAGGTGTGACAATAAAATAATCATTTATTGTAGGTTCTTGAGGATTATGGTAAAGTTTCCAGCACAAACTTAGAATGACAGAAATAAGATTTTCTTCTCTTTGAGTTAAACTTAAAACCAACATCTCAGTGGGACTGACCAGAGATACATAAATTTACCCAAGAAGAGAAAGCAGTACTCTGATAAACTGATCGAGTTTATCACAAGATTAAATATAGTGATTGTTCCGTAGACTAGGCAGAGGTGAATGGATGGTGGTGTGTTGATAGATGGTTGAAGAAGCAATTTGAGAAACAGAAACAAACTGAAGAAGCAAATGTGGTCCTAGCTAATAGGTCTTTTAGATCTTGAATATTTGGGCTGCAGTACTAAGGCCTTTTGGCAGAAATGAAGGCATAGGAGAGGGTTTTATTACTCTCTGGAAACCAGGATAGTGATATTACAGATTTATACATCAGCTGATATATAGTTGATAATATGAAACACTCAAATTACCAATAGAACTCTCTTCTAATTCCATGTCTTTCACAGGACTTACAGAGCCATTGCTGAGTCCCAGTATAGTACTGAACATGTGGACTGCATTACTGTCTAAAGCAAGCGATTATCCTTCCTTTACCAATGAAGATTCTGAGACTTGGAGGTGCAGGGCAGGCTGTCCTCAGTCTCACTGCAAAGCCAGTCTTCCAAGCAAAGTCAGGCCGGCCCCCAGGACCATGTGTGTAACCCTTCTGTTGTCCTCTCTCCACTGATTTTACTTTCTGGGTGAGAGAAATGCCAAAGATCAAGCACCCTGAGGGCCCTGCCTGGGATAGGGTTTTATTGCTCTCTTGAAACTGATATTACTGATTTATATATCAGTACTTTGAATTTGGGTAATGTCAGTCTTCCCCTAAGGATGAAAAATCAGGTTTCCAAGCCTATAGAGCTAAAAAAGTGAATGTTCTCGCCGAAGAATCACCAGAGTGATGGACACCACCCCAAGTGCCTCTTGGGCACTGACTTTTGGCCTCTCCATGGTGACATACCCCTATGACTTAGCCTGTAGCCATAACCCTTTTTGATATTGGAATTTCTACAATAAGAAAATGAATGTTCTTGGTGACTCATAAACTGAAGGCAAATAAAAGGCTCTGAGCAACCACAGAATCATTGGAATAAATTTCATTATCTCTGTTTCAATGAGTGTACCTAATTGAATGCATATCTTTGGTTAAAAAATAAAAAAGGTTACTCCCATTACTTTATACAACAGTGATTATAGATCATATGTGCCACTCTCAATGAAGAACATTTATGACCCACAATTTACAAACGGTGAAATAAAGGCATTGAAGGGGGAGATAATAGGTCTCCCAAGACATTGAGATCACAACTCCAGAATCTTAAGACCCTTTAAAAACCACACTCTTCTACTGCCATGGTTCTGGCAACACCCGAGCTGGTAGCCTCTCCATTAGAGATCTAGACCTCATTGTAAAACCACGACAACATTTGGGGTTGTCTATCATCACAGCATAACCTAGCTAACTCTGATTGATCCAAGCACTGAATTTTTATTTTTCTGTATGGTTGGTTTATAACCATTAAGGTCTCAACTCCATGATTTCCTGATCTTACAAATGAAGACAATATCCCACCTTGACGCAATGGTGATTAATGAACTACATTGTTCTGAACATTTCTTAAACTCATTTGGAGAAAGTTGCTCAGTAAGCACAAAGCTTTATGCTATTATGTACTTTGAACGGATGTTTACAAAATCCTGCTGATTATAATTTGCCAATTACTTGTGTTGTAAACATTTGTGG